GATTCTCGTTGGATGCTGATGTTTTTTATCGTTCACATACTGGGGAAGAAAATCGTTCTGAAAATGATTCCAGTGCTATTGTTCCTCTGTCATTATTATTATAACTTCCATATTCTCATAGAATTAGAAAGATTATTGAAACTTTATATTTATAGTTATTTCTACATTTAAGATGACTATATCCAGGTGGTAATTACACCATTATGTTGCCAAAACAGCAGTTTCTCCACTGACAAGCCCATGCAGCAAAGATATTTAGTCTGGAAATACATCAAACTGCTAATCAAACCATTTAACAGGATATTTTTTTAATTAATTGGCTGAGGTTACACTAACTGTTTCCAGCACATTCTGGCCTTAATTAATTGAGGAAGTCACTACTTCAGTGTTTAAAATTTGGGCTTGTCTTAGTCATTTTGTGAAGAGCAAAGCACAGAAACTCCTCTCAAAACACAAAAACAGGAAAATGGAGGGATCACCGGTCCAACATTCAGGAAGAGAGAGAGGTGAACAAAAGCGTGATCTAAGTGATTGAGTGAATGAATCAAGCGAGAACAAACTAGATGAGATCAGGCTTGATTTTTGAATACAGGTAAATTTGTTCCTGTTTCTTTGCATTTTGACTGAATGAAGAAACTTGCCTCTGTGACTCTTTTGCAATCAACTCACAAATTCCCTTACAAATAACATCAGCCTTGATGAAAGTGCGAGACGTGATGAAAGCTCACCCGGTTTAGATGCAGAAAGCCATGCACTCCAAAATAAGATGTCACGTTGATACCTCTATTTCTTCTTCTGAATTAAAGAACATTTCCAGTTTGGCTCATCATCTAAATCAGCGAGTTGTTTGCCAAATACTGTGTCTTAGATTTTTCACAGACCCGGCCTTGACCCTCGGGACGCTTTGGGTGAACCTGTATCATAAGACGCCTGGCAGTTAGCCTGACCACAGGAAGTAAAAAGCACAACAGCCTTCAGCTACTCTAGGAATGTGGGCCAACCTCAAGAGACAAAGGGAATATTGTATTCCTGAAGGGCCTAATAGAGAGGGAAATGAAACTATGCCAGAAATCTCTCTTTCCCAAGCTCTAATTCGTTCTTGCTTTCTGGCCATTCCTCTGCTCTCTGCACAATATGTTTGGGTCAAGAGTGGGTATGGCAGGGAACCTCAGCCAGAGGGGAAACAGCTGCTCCAGTGTTTGCAAGCACCATTAGACTGATACGAGGACAGGAAATGGAATTTATACCGGCCATGCAACTGCGCTTTAATAGGGCTGAGCCAGGCATCTTAATACTCTGCCTGTGACCTTCATGGGGAATAAATTTTCAGGGCTGTGGTATCAGTGATATTGTCGTCAGCACTGGTTTACAGTCCTGCGAGCCTAACAGCACAGACATCGGCTCGCTATCGGGCCAACGGCGTGACCGTGTGTCCTCCATATCTCCAGGACTTTTTGGGTCTAATTCCAGAGGAAAGGAAGGGGAAATGTGCACCAGGAAAGAGAAACTGTGGTTAATGTTCAGAAAAAACAAGCCCCACAACTTTATCTTCCATTAGTTTATTAATTAAACTCGAAATTCATGAGAGATTAATATTCAAACATATAATTTGGTTTGCTCTTAATTTTATGAGAAGTATGAATTTATCACTGACTACCTGACAACAGACCAAGACCCATATATCACAAAAATATACACAAATCTAGAGAAAAATTACAGAAAATCTGACAAATTGTAAAGAAATATTTTTTAGACAGGATTTTTAGATAACATCCCTCATTTTAAGTAGGTCCGGTTATCAGCTAGCAACACCATAATCCACAACAGTTCCTGCACATAGTATACATGTGATATTCAAAATATGATTATTTTGTCAACACCATGGCTGTGGTGACAACTCAAAAGATGGGGCTGAAAATCCGTCTGACAGCATGTTGTAGTCTCAAATCATTCGTTCATTGAAGTAAATACTAGATTTATGACATGTTATTTTGACACGAGAACAGGCACAAAAAACCCCCCACCTATTCTGTGATAAAATGGAAGCAGCAGGGAGTTTGCACCCAAAGATAAGTGAATAACACTGTACAGGTTGAACCGATTCAAAATAATTCCTTATGCACATAATCTGTTATTTTGTCAGTTTTGTAGGCTGTTTTGTCACCATACTCAAGAATCAGTGTCTAGTCGATGTGACTTCTTGGGCTTTTGAAAGCGTCTGTATTTACTGAAATCTCACAAAAGACAAATGTAAGGTTTTAAGCACCAGTAAGTTCAGTACAAAAGCACCGCTGGCGACACTGAACATTCAGCTCAGAGCCGTGGAAGAGTTAAAATGAGTGTTTTTATGCTGCTGTTAAGCTGTAAAGCTCGAACAGAGGGACGAGAGGAAACAACTCCAGACTGTCTGTCACAACTGTCATAAATCAGATTCCCAGCATGCATTCACACACAGACAAAAAAGAAGAAAACATTCATATGCTTGCTTCCAATTTAAACTACATTTCTACAAGCACATTTTAACAGTTCTCCACAAAATTTCCCTTTTGCACTGTTTGACGAGATGCAATCTTCAAACCAAAGAACTGCTTGGGTTGCAAATACTTCAACCAGAGACTTTCTGATATTGAATTACAAGGAGAGAGAGAGAGAGAGAGAGAGAGAGAGAGAGAGAGACGAAAGGAAAGTAATAAAAACAAAGCTTTAGTCTAATAACGTCTCTAGCATTATGCATAAGCCTAATCACCTGTCCTTCTGCTTTATCAAATTGAATTAATATCAAATTAATGACTGGTGTTAAAGAAATTATCCGCAAGTCTCTGAACGTGTGGCACGAATGACAGCACAATAATTTGATCGCAGTGTGTCAGAGTCATTCAGCACATCTGTGGGAGACGCTTCTTCACCACCAAAACAAGCACCTCGGACCCTCTCTCTCTCTCTCGTTTCTGTCAGTCGTGACAGCGTGTTCAGCCACACAAAATGGAAATGTATAATTACTACGGCCTCAAATGCTAATTAAAACTTTGCCTAGTAATAATTTTCAATAATTACACATCCCAAATGGATTCTGGGAGAGACGAACGTCTGGGCAATAATGGCGGCGTACTTTCTGCCTCTGAGAGAAATGAGCCATCCACATACAAGAATAAAGAAATCTCCTAGCAAACCACATACAAACCTTGAACTTATAAGCAGAAGGATTTCGTGGGCATAAAAACTGATGAATAAAAGAAAACAATATCATTAACTTCTAAATCAATGCTAGTATAAAGCTCACAAAAAGCTGATAGTGAAAATACGGCGTGACGCAACACAATCAAGCACAAAGCACAGCCCATCAGAAGAGTTGTCTCTGTTGGCGCGTTTTCTCACGCTTTCATCGCACTGCTACTGCAGCTGAAATGCACAGAACTCATAACTCGTGTTTTCAAGAAGTCTGTGATGCTTTTCAGGACAGCATGTTTTATGGGTTTTCATGTGAACTTGTGTTCGTTTAATATCCACTAGCAGAATTAGTTTTTTTTCGTCCATGTCTGATGAATAATGTGCATGAGGCAATGTAGCAGAAATTGACCCTTTGATGACGCATTTCCGACTTAATTAACAAGCTAAATCCAACAATCCTTTTTTTTCCCTTATACATATTATTTTGTTATTAAAAATGGTCAAGGTCTAAATTTCATTAATTTCCTCTAGGAGACAGAAGACTACGGCATCTATTTGGAGAACACTGCCAATTAAAAACAAACTTGTAATATTTTGAAGATATATGAAATTTGTCTGATGCTTTATGCTTCTTGTTTATATTTTCATTTTTATTATTTAATGTAAATTATAACACTATACTTCTATCACCCTGTCCCTGTGGGGAAAACAAACTAGTCAACACTGCTGCATTGGGGACTCAAATACAGCCACAGAGGGAAGTGTTGCTCCCCGTAATCTTGCAGTTTCCTCTTTTGAAAAGCCATGAAAATGGAATCTTACTTTGCTTTTTTTCTTTAATAATCCAAGATCTTTTTTGTTGTTGTATGAAACCATTGTGATAAATCTTTTTTTGTTCCACAGGAGCCTTTTGAATCTTATGAGTTTGAATGACATGAGGATGAACAGACAATGACAGAATATTTATTTCATTTATTTCATATCGTTTTAGACATTTTTTTTAAACCAACAACCTATAAAGGAGACCAATTTATTTATTTATTTTTTTACTTTTGGCTCTTTAAAGGTGTATGTATGTGCCCATAACCAACAGTGAGATTTTTAAAAGTGGTGTCCAATTTTTATTGAAATACTTTTGCCTAACCATTGAATAAATGAGTTAGCTAATCTATAATCTATTATTTTACTATTATGTTACTACAAGATTATATAAAAGTCACCTGTTGTGTAATTTCCCTGAAAAGTGAAAGAGTTATTGCATGGTTATTAAGAATTTATTGCTGAGCCAATGGCATGAGTCTGAGGTGAAGCCATCTGTTTGTTGAACAATGGCAGAAAAGGGATGTGTTTGTAAAAACCTGCTTAGAAACAGGTAGAATGTTGTAAAGTCATCTGGCGCCGCTAGTGGTCTGAAATGACACGCCTTTCGACAAATTCCTTTACATACACTAATGTCTCTCTCTCCCAGCATTCCTCTTCTGCACAGAGCTCTAATTAATCCCGAACAGATAATGTGGTGTGTGGCCTTTGTAATTATCACATGAAACTCTTCATTCTCCAACAGCCCCGAATTTCATCTCAAATTAAAAAACTGGACCATAATCACAGATGCATATCACCTCTTCATCTTAATTGATCATTATGGTGGTGTTAATTTGCAGCCATCTACTATCACACATGCAGGTAGAGTTTTTATCAGGGACTGAGAAATTAAATGGGATTGTACTATGGGATTGTTCATCTAGTGCAGTGATTTTCCTCCACGGATATGCAGCTAAAGGGAAGTTTCAGTTTTAAAATGACAAACAGTGACTAATTGTTTCAAGTGCATATTTATTGAAAATGTGTTATATAAAAGACAACATTTTGTACATAGTATTAATGTATGCAGTGATACTAGGTGCAAAGATAATTCTGTTTTGTAAAAAGTTACATACGTGTTTCACGTACTACAATCAATAATACTTTTATTTATCATGTTACCTGACCTCTGAATGCAGAGAGAGTCTTTTGTACCAAAATACATGTGAAATCATTAAACTTGAATGAAATACTATCAAAAAAGTAAAGAATCTTAAAACAAATGAGAGGCAGCCCATTCATAAGTGTGGATTTAGGTGGGAACGTTATAAGCCCAGGAAGACGAGTGGTTCTCATCCTTCCTCTGTGTCAGAGGTTCTCTGGACTCTCCTTTCCTCTTCCTAAAAAACAATCTCTTTTTCTTCATCTTTCTCTGATTATATGACTTCACATACAGGACAGCTGTACTGTGTTTTTTTGACAAAATATTCAAGACTAAGATTTTCAGTATGAAATTATTGTACTTTTTTGTTATTCATGACCAAATCGGTTTAAAAAACATTTGAAGATGTTGATCTGCATCTCGTACAGTGGTTTAATATCCTTCCATTATATAAAAGTTAAATTCAAAGAGTATATGGAGTGCTCTAAAATATTTCACGTAAGCACAAGCAGACACACATTGGTGCACACATACCACAATTTTAAATGATCATTGTAAAGATTATACAATAATGTGCTAATAAAAGTGGTGCTGGAATGTGTTTATATCTGGATCTGAAGGCCAGCATTAATCTTACAGACGCACAAACATATGGAGGGACCGTCTGAGTGGGAGTGAGTTATATATGGAACATTGTCCCTGCAAATGCTGTGTCAGGACTCTAAGATGTAGCATTGGCTATCAAGATGAGATAGTATAGAGCAAACTGTTAGTAAAAAAAACATGTAAACACCTGTCCATAAATGTAGGCACAATGGTGCTTGCTCTAGAAACATCGTACACAAGGTGAAAAACACGTTGAGGTTAAACAGCTGCCGTCATTGGACTTTTCTGTCTTGGGTCTGAGTGTCGTGGCTCTCCGTATGCGTAGCGCTCTGGGCTGGTGTTGCGGTAGCCGCCACGGTTCATGGTGTCGAAGCGAGGGCCTCGGAGGGGTATGGTGGGAGATGGGGGCACGTCCTGTCGAAGCGGGCCTCTCTGCTGTGGAGGATGGTGATAGAACCCTGAGTCGTTCTGCCGAGGGTCCACAGAGCGAGGGTAGTTATCTCTGGGAGGGTAGCTGGGGTGGTAGCCGGGCTGTGGGTTTGGGTAGTGTGTTGGGTCCCTGTGTCCAGCCCACGGCTGCACGGGATACTCATTAGGTTCGACTGGTGCTCTTCTGAAAGACAGGAAAGATAAAGGAAAGTTAGGATCTGAAAAGAGATGGTCTGATGGAGATGGTCAAAGAGATAAGCAAGACTTTACCATGATCAAGTATAATTTTATTTAGAAAAAAAGATTTATCAAACTGATCTGTTTCAAAACCAAGAGAGCTGCTCAAATAGAAAACATTTTTAGCCTTTTCAGATTATATATATGTATCGGTAAGATTTCTTAATGTTTATAAAAGAAGTTTCTTCTTATGTTCACCAAGGCTGCATTTATTTGATCAAATATACAGTAAAACAATAATATTATGAAATATTATTACAAATTAAATTAACTGTTTTCTGTTTTATTATATTTTATGATGTCATTTATTCCTGTGATACCAAAGCCGAATTTTCAGCATTATTACTCCAGTCTTCAGTGTCACATGATCCTTCAGAAATCATTCTAACATGCTGATTTGCTGCTAAAGAAACATGTCTTATTATCAACATTGGAAACAGTTGCTTAATACTTGCTTAATTAAAATATTAATATTTTGTCAAAACAGTGAAACCGTCTCCCCCAGGATTCTTTGATGAAGAGGGAAAAAAAGAATTAACAAGAAAGCATTTATTTGAAATAGAAATCTTGACATTAATATCTTTACTGTCATTTTTGATGACAGGACTTAATTCTTAAAATTACTTAAAATGAATCCATGCTGAATAAAACTATTAATTTACTTAAAAAAAATACATTTTACTTGGTACTGATAGTATTAAGAGAAAATAGTTAATGTTTGTGTCTTACATGTGATTATTAAAGAGCTGTTAGCTTAGCAGCATGCTAATGTCTCACTCTAATGGAATCTACTCTCTGCGTTCACATGAAGATCACTATTTGTCTTAAGGAAGTGAGTCATCATTACCCAAGTTGCTACCTATGAAGAGTGCTTAAAATTAGTCACTTGAGGGTCTCTTTTAGTTAGGATGCTACCTTAGAAACTAGCTACCTATGTAGACAGTAGACCACCAGTCAGTTTACAAGAGCTTTAGGAGTTGGGTCTGCACACTGTACACTAAAATGCTGCAGGGATCAGGGGCCTGAAGACCAACAGATAATGGAATACAGTAACTCCTATTCCGACCAGTGGCATTTTGTGGAGAGTGAGAAGAAGGGAGGGAGGGAGAGAGTGAGTCCTGGTATCATGATCCTGTGTTACATGTGCTGAGGCAAGTGTGACGTTCCAAGGACCTGCAACATAAACATTATAACAGGTCTCAAGCACATACAAAGTCTGGGACAGGGACTGACATGCGGTCAGGGTCTCTGGAGACGGTAGACAGTTGGCAATCTCTGATTTCCTCACGCTGGGTGTGGTAGCCGGGCTGTGGGTTTGGGTAGTGTGTTGGGTCCCTGTGTCCAGCCCACGGCTGCACGGGATACTCATTAGGTTCGACTGGTGCTCTTCTGAAAGACAGGAAAGATAAAGGAAAGTTAGGATCTGAAAAGAGATGGTCTGATGGAGATGGTCAAAGAGATAAGCAAGACTTTACCATGATCAAGTATAATTTTATTTAGAAAAAAAGATTTATCAAACTGATCTGTTTCAAAACCAAGAGAGCTGCTCAAATAGAAAACATTTTTAGCCTTTTCAGATTATATATATGTATCGGTAAGATTTCTTAATGTTTATAAAAGAAGTTTCTTCTTATGTTCACCAAGGCTGCATTTATTTGATCAAATATACAGTAAAACAATAATATTATGAAATATTATTACAAATTAAATTAACTGTTTTCTGTTTTATTATATTTTATGATGTCATTTATTCCTGTGATACCAAAGCCGAATTTTCAGCATTATTACTCCAGTCTTCAGTGTCACATGATCCTTCAGAAATCATTCTAACATGCTGATTTGCTGCTAAAGAAACATGTCTTATTATCAACATTGGAAACAGTTGCTTAATACTTGCTTAATTAAAATATTAATATTTTGTCAAAACAGTGAAACCGTCTCCCCCAGGATTCTTTGATGAAGAGGGAAAAAAAGAATTAACAAGAAAGCATTTATTTGAAATAGAAATCTTGACATTAATATCTTTACTGTCATTTTTGATGACAGGACTTAATTCTTAAAATTACTTAAAATGAATCCATGCTGAATAAAACTATTAATTTACTTAAAAAAAATACATTTTACTTGGTACTGATAGTATTAAGAGAAAATAGTTAATGTTTGTGTCTTACATGTGATTATTAAAGAGCTGTTAGCTTAGCAGCATGCTAATGTCTCACTCTAATGGAATCTACTCTCTGCGTTCACATGAAGATCACTATTTGTCTTAAGGAAGTGAGTCATCATTACCCAAGTTGCTACCTATGAAGAGTGCTTAAAATTAGTCACTTGAGGGTCTCTTTTAGTTAGGATGCTACCTTAGAAACTAGCTACCTATGTAGACAGTAGACCACCAGTCAGTTTACAAGAGAAGCTTAAGGAGTTGGGTCTGCACACTGTACACTAAAATGCTGCAGGGATCAGGGGCCTGAAGACCAACAGATAACGGAATACAGTAACTCCTATTCCGACCAGTGGCATTTTGTGGAGAGTGAGAAGAAGGGAGGGAGGGAGAGAGTGAGTCCTGGTATCATGATCCTGTGTTACATGTGCTGAGGCAAGTGTGACGTTCCAAGGACCTGCAACATAAACATTTTAACAGGTCTCAAGCACATACAAAGTCTGGGACAGGGACTGACATGCGGTCAGGGTCTCTGGAGACGGTAGACAGTTGGCCATCTCTGGTTTCCTCACGCTGGGTGATTAGGGTATAATCTCCGCTGTAACGTGAGACACCGCACGCTAATTCGGCATGGATCACCTTTTATAGCACAATTCGCATTTTTTCAGCTCTCGCGCTGCTGTGCTCTGAATGCAGAGTTCCAGAGGCTTTAGCCAGCAGTTATATTGCACCTCAGCTGAAAGTCAACCAGAAAGAGACCAATGAGAACGAGAGTGAATACAAAACCAGACAGAGCACAGTACGATCATTCGCTTTCGCCAGACTGCCGAATCAGCTGTCTTCCTTCCTCTCCTTCCCATTCCAGTCATAGATCAGGCTAGTATCAATGACAACCTCGGCATGCCACATGTCTTAAGGAGCCTGGATCGTTGTGTATGACTTTCCCCATTAACTTATTTATGTGTACGACGTGTCTGCGAACAAGATCCCGTCTGATGGCAGAATCAATTAGCTGCTTTAGTGCAAGATGGTCCGTTTACGTGTTTCACACATATCGTGTTACTCCTGCTGAATGTGGAAAACATCAGTCTGAAGGCCCTCGGTGGAAAGCGCACTCTTTCACTGTGGTCTCGTTCCCTTTAAGGGAGGGTTTCCTGAAGACCTGGAGAGCAAGAAATCAGGCATTCCAAAAATCATCTTAATCTCTCCAAAGCTGTGACCACCCATCCAGTGGGACAACCGGGTGTCTGGACGCACGCACTCCCTCTTGACCCTCTCAGTCAGTCATTTGCTATATCACTGGCTGTGACGTCACAGCCTCAGCTGTCCCAGATAAGCAGTGTGTGTGTACGGTGTGTGTGTTTGCAAAGTGAAGGCCAAAATCATCATTACTGTTGGAGATTATAAGCTTTGCAGTGACTGTCTGCACCTGTTTTTGCTAGCTTATTCAAGACCTCACCTCAAGCCCAGAACATTAACAATTAATCTTTCCTGTTCTCAAGTCCTCCTACAGGCTATTACAAAACACAACGCGCTTATACTTCTGTTCTGGTTTAATCTTTTCTTGATGTTGAGTCCTTCAGTTTTGAGGGACGGTCTACAGGGACAGTAGGACACAAGAGGCCTAGAGGGTGAAGAATTTTCCCCTGTGAATACGATCAACAGCTGGGGAAACCAGAGGAAGCAATAAAGACTGGAAATCATTACTGGCATTTCCATGAACAGGGTACAATATAAGGCCTGAAACACTTGAATTTTTTTTTTTCTTTGGTCAATGAAAGGAGGTACTTAACCTTGAGAAAATATTGATTGTTAACCTCAGGAGGCCAACCTAAAATTTTTTTCTATAGGTTTTGCCAATTTTTCCTCAATTTTAAACAAACAAATAATGTAAAACCAGGACTCTTTTTTCTTAACAAGAATTGCATTCATTTAAACGCAGAACATCTTTACGCCCACATCAAACGGGAGACTTTTCAGATGCGCACTCCACTTCACCTCAGCGACAGGCGCTAGTCAAACGAGCGTGGAAACAGTACAGGTGATGAAGAGCTTTAGTAGAACAACCTACTTGCTGAATGGGAACAGGTAAATATGACATCCATTATAATGGGCTTATGTGAAGATTGTTTTAAGTTTACTTAAATTAGAAGTTATATTTTAAAGTCTAATAAATGTTAAAATTGATAGCTCTCAATTATACTGTAATGTTGAATGGCTATAGTCAGTGGTTTAATATTAGGGGGAAAAAAAGAACAATTTCCTAGAGACTTCAGTATACTGTAGTCATAAAAAAGATGCCATTAAACAAATATGTTGTTTCTTGTTGTCTTTATGTTGTTTGTACATTAATTGAATGTGAAATTATTGTAATATAAAAGTATATTTAAAAACTTCAATGTTAGGTGGGATTAATCACAATTAATTTCAGAAGAAATGTGCGATTAATTAGTTAATTTTTTTAATCGATTGACAGCACTAATATATATATATATACAGTTTTGGGTGTAACGCGTTACTAAGGAATGCGCTACTGTAATTAAATTACTTATCCACTGAAAAAGTAAAGTAAGGGATTACCGTTCATTTTTAGGTAATTTAATTACAATTACTTATAAAGTACTTGCGTTACATACTGGAAATAATTTCAACAGTTCTAACATCAATATTGAATTTAAAATCTAAATTTACAGTCTAAAGATAAAATTGAATGCAGCGTCTTTAACCCTCTGCATGTCGGCGCGTTCACTTTCAGTTTTTCCTGATTTCCTGATTATAATTTATTTTTACCTACATTAGTTAACGTGTTATTTTTACATACGGATTTTACTAGTTGGGCTTTTCCTGAACATCTTGCAAAACTGAAATGTATTGTTTAACCTTTCTTAAGCTTTTTTGTTATTCAGATATTTTGCAGAGTATTTCTATTTGTTAACCAAAGAAGGTTACATTTTTTTATAAAAATGTTTAAGTATTACAGTTGTTTTAAAGCTAAAAGGCTAAACTAATCTATGTTTGACTCAAATTAAAAGAACAAAGAGTTTACATTTTATTGTCGATGCTTTAAGGTTTATATGGATTTTAAGATGTAGCCTAATTAGCGATTTGAATAATTAAGTTACTTGTTGAGTATCTAAATTACTTTTCAGACAGAGTAATTAGTAAAGTAATTTAAATACAATATTGATTATGTAATTAGTAATAGTAATTAATTACTTTTTGAAAGTAACTTACCCAACACTATATATACATTATATTGCCCTCTTGCCCTCCCTTAAAAAAAGCTGGGAAATCAGGAAGTGGCAGCATGTTATTTAGCACAGGCATGCAGTTTGAGGATCAGTGATCAAGATAAGAACTTTAGGCCCGTTCTTGTCTAAGTATCTCATGGCAGTAAATTTAGTATTCAGTCCGTGAAATCCTGATTTTTCGAACTAAATGTGCTATAGTGGTATGTGGCCCACTGGGACACATTTCCCTCCTGGTTTAAAGACTCTGTGCAACTGCATTTGGGGCTTGGTTGGGAATTACAAGACATTCCTAATGTGCAGTTATTTAAATGGTTTTGTGGGCTCAACAGCTGGGAGCAGCTGTTTTGAGCACCCATGGCCCTTAGTCAGGGTAGATGGCATATTTAATCACTTGAATGAAAATGAGGCTGTGAGGGATAGAAGTACAGACTGCTCAATGGGATGTATTGAGTTCCACAGATTGGTCAGCTGACAGATAAAATAAACAGTTAAATCAATTATAATCATTGATTTCAAATCCAGTGGAAAAACAAACAAACAAAAATGCAAAATGTGAAAAATATGCCCTCCACCCTGACTAAGCTCCACAGAAAAAAGACAAGCAAACCACATACAGTCCCTACAAACATTTTGAGCTTTACAAAGTCATTCAGCATGCTTACATATAAATGATTATGGCATGATTCCCTTTTGATAGCCACATGGATAAACAGTGCAGACTAAATTAGTCCCCTGAGAAACTCCTGCAACGCAAATAGCTAAAAAACGAAATGATCCTCTTTCACAGAATGAACAATGAAAGGTATATTAAAAATCGGCCTCCAGTTCTCCATCATGCAGTGAGCAGATGCAGACAAAATCAAATTCTGAGTCGTTTTACCATTACTTTCAAACCGTGATGACAGCCATAAGCCAGCATGTTATACACGGAGACATCTTTACTTTCTCAAGCTCTTCATATCAGCCATATTCCAAAG